GTATCGGAAATTGAGAGTTGGACAATATCGGAATATCGGATATCGGCAGAAAAGCCAATATCGAGCATCCCTAAACACAACGCAATGTTAATTTTATTGACTAATAACTTGTCAATGATTTAATTTTATTCACTGATGGAAACTAGACGATAACTAAATAAAAAAAATGTATGATGGCAAAAACTGAATCTATTGACATTTTCATCAACGCGGGAAAAATAAATGAAAATGTTAGTTAGACAAGTTGGGAAGAGATCCAATCAGAACTAATCTCTTTGTGTGTGATAGGGAGGAGATATGCGTTTAAATATTCGAGAGAATCATTTAAATAATGCATTACACTAAACTTACTTACTAAACCTGTAAACCATTTTTGCCGAATAAAATCTTCTGATATTCAGTGAACTGAAAGCAGACTAAAACTAATACATTTCAGGAACTAATTGGCACTGACAGACGATGAGTCGAACTAAACCAAAATTTGCTGACAAAATCAACACGTGTGCTTTTAGCAGTGATATCACTAAGATCTAGGCTGTCCAACTGGAGGATCCCACTACATGATTTTTTATCCTTAATAAAAATAACAAATTTGAAAGTCATGTGGTGTGACCAATTCTGTATAGCCTCCACTCAGACCAGTAACAACAGCCATAGTAAGACTATACAGGATTTGGAGCGTGGGGCTAGAGAAACATGGCACACTGTGTCACCTCAGGAGGACACAAATATTACACTTCGTGAAGGAGAAGAAGGCCTGAACCCCACCGCTGTTGTGAGGAGTTATTCTGCTTTGATGGTGCTCCACCACTTGAAAAGGCCCACAGAACGTTACAGCCTCGGCCTCAGATCAACAAATGGTCCAGACCGCTCCTTGTTGCATGTTATTATGACCACGACTGGGAGAAAATGCTGCGCCGCGTCAGAGAAAGTAGTCTTACATATATATAAATATAAAACAAGCAGCATTTGCAGATATCTCAACCTATCCCAGAAGGCAGCAGCCAGGCTTTTGACAAAGAGGGCACCTTACCCCCTTTCTTGCACAATTACTTGGCTTCCTCTTCAGAATTCAGTTCAAGATCCTCCTGATCAAATTCAGACCCCTTCATGGCACAAGCCCTCTTATATTTCTGAGCAAGATAACTCAGATCTGCTGACCAACTGCTCCTAAATGTCCCCTGGTCTAGGCTCAAAACAAAGGGGGGCCATGCTTTTACTGATTTAGCTCCAGCACTATGGAATTGCCTCCCCACCTGTATAGGTTTGCGTTTGTAATTCCTATTGGCTTTAGTAGTAGAGCAGTAAAGTATCTGCTTTTGTTTTCAATTGCATTTTACTTGCTGTTTTATGCGGCGTACTACTATGCATCTATGGGTACTATTTTTGATTGTCTATTTCCTAAGCACTGTTTTGAAAAGTCTTCTTGTGCAGTGTGAGTTTATACACGGACCAATCAGATTGTTCCCTGTATTTTTGTCCAAGGTGCATTCTGATTGGTTCAGGAATTTAAAATGTGTCGGTGGGATTTTAAAAAGACTGAAAGAGCTACTGTATCTTGAGTTTTAGCTGAATCTCAGGATTAGGTGTGTTATTAGTTTGGTTCGTTATGCCCAGAAAATACACCAACAAACAAACAATACATACAGTCAGGCAGTGCTTTTTAGGGTTTTTAGAAGAGAAAGCGGATAAAACTGTGAAAGCATCCTGAAGCGAGGTGAGACAACAGATCAGAGAGGAGTTATGGATGCTGTGAGTTTAGGGTTGAACGGTACCATGTTGTTTTCTTGTTCTGTCTCGTTCTTTCCCTGCATGCTGCGGTCACTCTGCCTGCTGCTGTATGTTTCCTCTGACCTGAAGGAAAAACATAAAGTTAAAATGTTTGAAACAAGACACTGGAATAAAGCAAAGTAAATCAAAGTAAAGCTAATCTGACCAGGTTGTGGAGTTGGGTACCTGTGGGATTGTCTGAGTATTTTCTGTGTGAAGCAGGTTAGTTTCTGCGTCTCTTCCTGGTACCTCTGCAGGTCTTGGGTCAGTAGGTTACGGAGCGCGCTCAGTGCCTCCTCTTGGAACACCAGCCTCTCTGACTGGAGCAAACGCTCGGTGATGGAGGCCTGGAGCTCGCGACAAGCACACAGCTGAAACTGTGAGGAAAAAAAATGGACGACAGTTTTACTGATCAGCTTAATGGGCGCTGCTCTGTGGAAATGCAGCAATCTCATTGGTTTACTTAAAACTTCTCTGCCGCCATGTTCTGATTCCTCCGAAACAGTTTGTTCCTGTCTCCTCTTGTCCTGCCAGTACGCTTAAGCAAACACTTGACTTTAGGATCAGTATGTGTGACTGCGTCTCACGGTCTAAATCAGTAAATAATGACTATGAGAGGCAGTTGAAAGCTCTGAAAGTGGTATATTTACAGTAAAGTTTCTGGTCAATATATTGATTTTAAAGATATTACTGTGAACTGTGTAGGAATAAAGACGGACATTTTTTTTATTGGCAACACATTTTGCAAATGACCATGTAACTCTCAGGTCAGGTGGTCAGGAAGTTGACTGAAGGAAAAGAGAAGTAGCAAAGTCATTTTATTCACTTTTATATACTTTTAAATGTGCCTTTTTGTATTCTAAATGTGTTTTATTCTTTTTTCTGCAGGCATTTTGTATTGTGTCTGTTACCTGATGTTTTGCTCTGGAATGTTAAGCTTTTACTCACATTGAAATGCACGTCTGTGTGTACCTTTTGTAACATTGTTAGGAAAGGTTAAGGTTATTATTATGGTTATGATTGTGATGATTATGATTAGTAGTAGTAGTGGTAGTAGTGGTAGTAGTAGTATCTCAGCCACACTTATGTTTGTGTTTTTTTAAGCCACTGCGAGCAGTGTGTACGATATCAGTTTCCTGCTGTGGTCACTTACAGTGGACGCCTGAAGGCTGGAGTTTCTCTGCAGCTCCTGTTCGGTCTGTTTCTTCTTCTCCCGAAGATTAAAAAGCTCAGTGGCGAGCAGGTGCTGACGGCCTTCAATCTGCAAGAGTCTGACGAAACAAAAACAAGAAAAAAATTGAGTTCGAAAAGCTCCCACTTGAGCTCGTCAAATACAATTCACACGGTCAGCTAAAATCTACTTTTAATAAAACACATACTTTTGGATTAAACATGCATCACTGCAAATATGGTGGATTTTACTACGTATAAATGCTGCAAAAAGGGCCTTAATGCACGTATTAATATGTAAAGAAGTCTCTCAAAAACACACATTATAGAAAAACACACGTAAACAAGCTAATATAAAGCATATACTTGAAAAGAGTAATGCAAACGTGCAGGATAGTGTTCCATATTTGAGATAATTAATGGAGAGGAAAGTTTTTTGTGAATGCACACAATGGGATCTTTTACCCCTCAGATGCTGCTGTTTATATAAGTTCCCTGAACAGACAACCTGAGCAGCTCCTGCATTCAGGGAGAAGAACAGAAGCGGCCAGGACTGACCTTTCTGTTCAGCTGAGAGAGCTGCCTGAGAAAACACTGACAATAGATACAGCATCGCATTTTCACTGCATCTTTTAAACATCTTTATTTTGGTCTCACTCCACTTTCCATCCCAGCAGTCTCTGCAGGTCTGGAAACCCGAAGCAGCAACTTTCCCACCTCAAACATCCCTGACAGGCTCATATCACACAGTTCCTTCCTTGGACAAACACGGCCGTGTTTTCATAGATACACACAGAGTTCAACAGCTGATACAGAGTCAGTTATTAATGCTCCCTGTTAATGTCAACAGCAGCCAAATATTCAATACAAGTCATGACTGCGAACACAACAGGAGTCACACCACCATGTACTGTTGTTTACTGTATATCAGGAATACATTCCATTATTCACCACTGCCATCTACTGCAAAAACACATCTACTGTAAAGCTAGTAGCATTAGTACAGAAGAGGTTTGCACTGGCGGCAATAGTACTAGTACTGGCAACAGTGTAGTAGTACTAACAGTGGCTGTAGTCATAATATTCAATTCAATTCAATTTTATTTGTATAGCGCCAATTCATAACAGATGTTATCTCAGG